CCCCCCCCCCCCCCCCGTTGTTGGAGTTAACTGATTTGGGGCAAGAGGCAGGTTTCGGCGAAGAAGGAGCCGACCAATCAGAGAGATTCAGAGAAGTGGGGAGTCCCTCAGACATGACAAAAATGGAGGAAAGGAAAGTATTTGATGATGGAAGAGAGTAAAGACTGGGAGGGCTATAAATAGCCCTGGGCACCGAAGGGACGGATGAGTCCCAAGGCAGCTGAATCGATAAAGCAGCCTTGAGCCGTGCGAAGGTCCAATCAGAGACAACAAGGGGCATTGGGTCCGCGGGGCGGCACGCCGGCCAATCCCGGGTTTGGGCCTATTGGGCTGGGATTAAAAGCCGGGCCCAAACATGATTGTTTATGTTAGCCAGCTAAACCAAAGAAGTGAGTACTGAAGTAAGGCACAGGGAAAGGGAAAAATATGGTAAACCCAACAAGTCAAATAACATAGGAGCACTGTACCAAAATGACAAATCATCCCAAAGAAAAATCACAAGTGTTTACAAAATTGAGAGAAAATAACATGGGAGATTAGACGCTCGAGCTTGGGTTTCCACCCGCCTTGGACGTGGCTGAGCTGGCCCCTGGATTCTAGTCGCCCTGACCGTCTCCCTCTTCTCCTTCTCCTTCTTCAGAGGCACTCGAGCTCCCTCCGTCCAAGTAAGGGCTGGGGTCGAACTCGGCCAAGGAGCGACAAGGAGGAGGAAAGCCGAGATCGGGGAGAGAGAATCCTTTGGGGAGTTGAGCCAGTCTGTCACGGAAGACCTGTTGAGCGTGGAAGAGTCCACAATTGAAGGACTTGGTCCCCTCTTTGACCATCCATTGGGCCCCAGGTTCAGTTTTGAGCCATTCGGCTGTCAACTTATCCATCCTCTCCAGGGCGACCATTGTAAAGTTAGGAGAGGACTTAAAGGATTCTACTGCTCCCTTTGCGTGGCGGGCCCGGTCTCTCTTCTCCATCTCCAACTGCTGGATTAGGTCAGACTTCTCCCCTTCCAACTCGACCACGCGAGCGGAAACAGATTCCACCTCCAAAGACAATGAAGCTTTATCTGCCTCAAGAGCGACGCAGCGGTCCATTTGGGAGGCTTTCTCTGCCTCAAGCGTAGCACAACGGCTCTCCTTCTCCTCTAACTCCCTCAAAAGGCGAGCGACCTCCTCCTGTAATTCCTTATGCTTGGCTTCCGCTGCCTTCATCGCCTCATCCGAAGCCGCTTGACGGCCCCACTTCCTGCCAACGACCTCAATCATCCCCAGTGTAGCCTACACCAAGGCATAAAAGTTAGGAGCGTAAGAGGGAGGAATGGTGGAAAGGAAATCAAGGCGAGTACCTAGCTAAGTCTCAAGAGGACCATGTTGTCGAGGTCGTCCTCAGAACCGGCCGAGATACGGGCCTGGTCTTTCGCGGGCAGGGTGATCAAGGTTTCCATCTGCACGTCCCCTAAACTATGGGGTGAGGGAGGAATTCTGAGCCTCGTCGAGCGACCCTCGGTCGCCACCTCGTAGGTCACTACGGGTGACGAAGGAGGTCGCTCCAGGACAATACCTTGGGACGACCCAGCAAGGTCGCCACCTGGCACCAGGGGGTGCAGAGAGGAATGGGCCGTCATTGTGCCCATTTCTGGGGCCGAATCATCTTGATCCTCCACCACGATTACAGTCAGCTCTTGAGAAGAACTATCCCTTCGATGGGAGGAAGTGCGCTTGCCTTGGTCCTTCGCCTCCCTCTTCCTCTTCCTCCCCGCCGTGAAGCGACTGAGCAGGAGATTGCTGTCCATCTCTTCTCCTAGATCCTGCAACTCAACTGAAAGCGAGGAAAATGGTTAGCCAGTGAATGGGGTGAACTAGAACATTTTGGCAAAAAGGGGGGGTAAATTACCAAAAGGACCACAATCAAGACCTTCCCCGGGAATGCCTATTGGTTGGTCGGGTTGACCGCCCCCGGGAACATCCCTCAACAGCTCAGGTTGGTGATGAAGTTCGTCTTGGACGAACTCAAACCCCATCTTCGCAAGAGACTCCTCGGTCACCACTTCCTTAATATTGACAGCCCCTCGGCCGCATAGTTGGTGGGTCATGGACAAGAGGGTGGCGTCAGATGGGGGAAAAGGGAGGCGACGGAAAGATGGGAGCCCTGAACCCGTGGAAGGATATTCGGGCCCCATCGAGACAAAGACGAAGAAGGGCTTCCAGTCCTTGGTCGACCCCTTCTTGTCGCTGGTAAACAGTTTGCTGGACCTTTGGGAAAGACTGGCATAGGACGCCCAATCCTTGTGACCCTTGGTCAGCTTGAAAGTGAACAGGAAGTGGTCGAGGGTAGGTTTCACCCCTATATCCTTTCATCTGATTAGATAACCGACGATGTTCCGGTGGGAATTGAGAACCAACTGACAGGGGAGGAGGTCCACCCCGTTGAGGAATTCAATCAACAGCGGGTGGAGGGGAAATCGCAGCCCCTTCTTCAGGGACGCCAGATGGATTGTAAAGAACCCCAACGGAGCGTCTAGGGCGGTCTGGGTGCTAGTAGGCCTTAGAACCTAAATGGAGGGTCCAACCATATCAGTAGCATCGGCGAACCCCCAGTCAGTGACCTGGCAATGGCAAAATGCCATGATGCTCTCGTCCAGCTTAACCCTCGAGCCCCCCCCACCGTACTGGGGTCGAAGAAGGAAATTGCTTCCTTAATCGGCGTAGCTTTTAGCCGGGCATGGCTAGTGGGGACGAATGGGACGATTGAGTCTGGATTGGGTCACGGCCAGAGGCCGATTGATCGGCATGACGAGAGTTGGACGATGCGGAAGCTGAGTCGGAGTCTGAAACAATCATGGTGGCTAGAAAAGGAACTGACCTGGAAAACGGGTCGGATAGCAGCAGAATCAAAGATGAGTGATGATGTAGAAGGCGAAAGAAAGAGATGGCATCCAGCGGCGGTTTTTAACTGACAAGGGGAAGGCGAAGCAGCAGGTCATGATTACCTATTCGTGGAGATCGTGCCAAACGTCACGCGGAACCCAAGGAACGGCCCGGATCCACGTTGGAGCATCCACGTGGACTTCGTAAACTCCACATCCCTCAATTTAGCCCAATCGAGGAATGAGGAGTTGGGGGGCTTGTGATGGGCCGATATCCGACGGGCGGCCCAAATGAATCATTTAAACAACATGGGTCAAGCGCTTGGAGAATGCTCAGGTGTGGGCCGGCCCATGGAGTTCCCGTGAGGTTAAGCCCGACCAATTCCAGTCCAAGAACGGTTGGCAGAGTCAATCTAGAGAAGGAGACGGAACTAAATGACGGAGATGAAGCCGGAAAAAGAGGATCGTGCCATTGACGGGATAGACTCCTTTGATTATGAATTACGTTAACTATCTAAGAAACCATGTATAAATAGAGGAGACCCTAATTGGGGATCCTCATGCTAAATCAGGCTAATAAAAGACACATAATTCTCGAGTTCTTGTGCTTAGTTGATCTCTTACGATCCGTTCTCCAAATCGGATCATTTGGTGGATTTATTGTCCATCAGTAGGGTTAGATAAATATTCAATATATATGAAGAAAATATATTATGATGGCTCGTACGTTAGTTAACTCGCATTCCTACACATTATCTTCAGACCTTGGTACCCACACAAAAACAATAAAATTCCAAAGAGAAATGTTGAAATATTTATTTGTAGACTCACCATTATCATTATTATGATTATTTTTCTTTTGTGAGAAAAAAGTAAACTTGATTTCATATCTAGATTTTTTTTAAAAAAAATTGTTTCTTATGCAACTGAGGAACACAATACGCAACTAATGAAACTCTCCTAGGTATTGGTAAATCTTTAAATTAATTTACCACTTTGTTTCAATTTAAACCTTGACTTTAATCAGGTATACTCAAGTGGAGTGCAATGTTTCATGTCAAGTTCATATACTCTACTATCTTGACAATTTATGTTAAACAAACAAGCTCCTTATGAATGGTGCATAATTCAAAATAAAATTTTAATGTAAAAATTTCTTGTAATTAACCTCATTTTCATTAGAGTTATTTTTTTATGGCAAAAGTTATAATTTTTCTTGAGAATACAAATGATACTTAATCCATAAACTAAAACCAATATTCGGTTACAACAACTTCCGACCAATGACCCCTTGTCTTTTTTTTAGGACTCCCCTTGAATTTGAAAAAATATATAATCTACATTTATACTATCCATAAAAATGTAACACATTTTTTTTTCAGACAGCGTTGGCTTTCATTAGTCATATGTCGTGATGTACGTCTGCTACCTCTTTTTTTAATGATTTTATTGAAACATTTTATTTTGCTCTTTTATTTCCACTTACCGTTATTCAATTAATTTTAATAAGCTTGTTTATTCTTGTTGTATTTTTTTCTTTTTTTTCATCTCTTTTTTTATGAGCCAACTACTACATGGTCATTGCCAATTACAAGTAACAATATAAATGTATTTAGTTATTCACATGTCATAGATACAAATAATATCATTATATAAATCTAGAATTTTTTTCACATAAGAGGGTTGCACAAGAAGTACAAAACAATCTTGATTCTAGGCTTTATTATAAAACCAAGGCAAGACCATTTTAATTCTATCTCATTGTATTTTTGCATGTTTCACATTCATAGTTATATATGAATTAAATTACTCTCGTAGTAAAAGAAATAATTTGATACCCTATCTACTGACCTTCTACGGTCATTCCACAACATGATTGTCTAGTCCTCTGTAAAAGAAACTTATATCTTACTAGACTTGGGGCGTCCCCCTTTTATCCAGCAATAACTATTCGGTGGTACCAAACTGAATACATCTATGCACAGATTCTAGGATTCTAGATTGCCATGGAGTATAGCTATCTATTGGCCTGTAACTTTGTATCTTGTATACTACCAATATCCTGATATGAATTTATAAACTATTTTCACAATATCTAAATAATGTGGTAGCACCAAAGATAATATCTTGTAATTACTTTTTTTTATATTTCAATCAATATCAAAACTATGTTCTTTGCACACAAGTTTAAAGCCAAATTAAGATACCTGTTTGGAGGAAGCATTGAGACGTGGCCGTACCTGTAGAACAATTTTTGTTTTAAAAATAATTTTTTTCATTCCCTTATTTCTTTCCATCAATTTTTTTCCTTGATTTCTTTTTAAAGTTAGGGCAGAAGATCATTTTATAAACCAATTTCTCTGATACCAAAATGTAACACCCCACCCTGGATGACCCGAGTCATCGAGACCAGAGTGCTGGTAAAACCGGGTTACTTTGTAAAATATGATTTATCTGAAATTTATTCTCTTTTTGATAACTTAAGAGAATTAAAAAAACATTTTTCGCGTAAGCTTAAAGTAAAAACATCCACAGTTAATACAACCTTGGGTTCAAGCCCAAAAAACAATGTAAATTAAGTTCGTTGTTTTATTCATTATTAAATATTAAATAAGAACTCCTTCGGCACGGCCTCCACGTCCAAGCTTTCCTCCTCAGCAGTTGTTTTCTTTGCTAGTACCTGCGTGCAGTTAAACACTACACGTTCAGCATAAGCTGAGTGGCAAACAACCAGTAGACATATAACATGTAAATATATTTTGGGCCTTTTAAGTTATTCAATTTATTCCAAAAAGAAAAAAAAACTTTTCGCATAATTAAAAGTCATCGAGGAAATAATTTCACTTTGAATAGTTACTTGGGGACATTTAGAAATACTTTTGACTTACTAGGCTAACCACAGATTAGAGACTAAGCCGTGACTAGGCTGGAACCCCGCACTAGTCGATACGTATTTTTACTTCGGATACCTCCCCGTGACCTCGGGTCCAGTAATCAGAAGTGAACCCTAGACCCACAGGGTCATCGTCGGGTTCTCGTGCGCATGTTGTGGTATGATATATATATATATATATATATATATATATATATATATATATATATATATATATGCGTGGATATAGATACACAATTTTTATGCTTTACTATTTTTTCATGAAATCCAAATCAGTTTATACATATAAAAAAAAGTGCACAAAAATATATGAACATGTAATATACGGCTAAAGGTTAGGGTCAACGGCACACCTTCAGTGTCTGTTTAGTCAAAATGATGGCTTGACAACGTTGACGGGATGATTCTGTGATGCGTCCGCCACGTCTCTCTCCACCCCTCGGCAACGCCACAACCCACTCTTACTCACACATAGGGATGGCAACGGGTCGGGTTCGGGTCCGATAGTACTATACCCGAACCCGACCCGACTTTTAAAACTGAAACCCGAACCCGACCCGAACCCGAGTTTTAACCAATAATAAATTCAATGTACCCAATAATTTTAAAAATATTAAATCATTTTTTTTGTGTCTCATTTTTTTATTAAGGAATTATAAAAATATTATAAATGGCATACTTGATATAGTAGCACTTTGTCAAAGATTATATGGAGTGCTCATTATATCTATAGATAGGCTTTTATGTTATAAAATATTCGGGTTTGAGTCGGGTCGGGTGCGGGTGCGGGTCGGGTCGGGTAAAATAATGAACCCACACCCGACCCGACCCGATGTCGGGTTCGGGTAACAAATTTCGGGCCGAGTTCGGATTATTTTATTCTCGGTTCGGGTTCGGATATTTTAGTGGTCGGTCGGGTCGGTTAAGCTTGGGTTTGGGTTGAATTGCCATCCCTACTCACACACCCTCTCAACGTACTTAGCTATATATTTTTTCCTCTTCAAATGATCTTGCCTCCTTTCTCATTCTAGGAGACCTTATTTATACGGAGAAGGAGGGTAAATGAATGGTTTAAAAAAATATTTTTTTTATTAAAATAAATCATTACTCCTCTTAATTAATGAGGTGAAATGAATGGGGGAGGGTGGAGATTCCTATATGGCGTGAGAAAGGAGAAAAAAAATGTTTTCCCGCTCCGTTGATTTAGTATTATGTGTCCGATTTCCACAGTTTCATTTATTAAATATTTATAGTAAAAATATAAAACTTATGTCGTTAATTTCCATATTTTTCACATATCATTTTAACATAATCTGTTTGTTAAGAAAATAGGTTCACTTGAACAAATTATGTGAATAGTAGAGAACCAAACTAATTTTTTTTATTCCCTTTCACATTACTCTGTTTTTTTCATCTCTACTAGTAATTAATCATTTAATATTAAATTCCAAATTGATGGTTTCTAAATAAATAAATAATAGTATCATTTGTTTAAAATTTTATTATTATCATTATATATATATATGTGTGTGTGTGTGTGTGTGTGTGTGTGTGTGTGTGTGTGTGTATTAATTATTATTTTTTTCATTTTTTTTTGTACTAGAAATTTAAAAATTCCTAGACCGATTTTCAGGGCGTTACACTGTTTATATAGGGGACAGATCCCACGCGCCCAGATCTGGACGCTTGGAGTATCCCGACTAATCAGCTTCTGCCACGTGTCGTTCTTGGGCTGATTGTGAGCTGAAGCGTCCAGCGTCCAAGTTGGACGCCTCAGTCCCTAGTCCGTTGGGCTTCGCGGCTGGTTCGTAATTTTGGCCCAATTTCACTTTTTTTGGCCCCGAACACTGTGTTTGACCTCCCGGAAGCTAGTTCAAGCCCGAATCTTGATCCCTTGATGATTCTTTCTCCTTTTCTCAAGTATTTGAACATAAAATGGATGCTTTTTGATGACTTTATTTGGAATCCCTTTTTATGACTCTTAAAATGAAAATGAGAGTTTTAGTCATGAAAAACACATTTTATGAGATGATTAAATACTATTTACGTGCAATAACGTTTAGAATAACGTTTACCATCAACACTAAGAACCTGTCCCTATTATCTATACTAGTTTACGGTCTTACTACTTTACTTGGGAGTCATGATGGTTCCAACTGGATCAGCGGGTCATGCTCAACCAACGAAGGTGTTCTTCATTGGGTGGGTGGAATCCCTACCTGATGGATCACTAGGCAGTTCAAGGATACATGTAAGTACGTTTTTACCCAGTTGGTCATTGGGCACAACGGGTATATACGGTGCACCCATTCAGTGTGCTGCCAACCAGGAAGGCCAACACCCCTTCAGGTATACATATCTACCAACATGCTTCTCCTTCTTTTGCAAAGTGAAAGCCGTGGCACCCTCCGATGATCCCTTGGGGGGACTCGTCGTATCCCCATCGGTAAGGATCAAAGGTCCCATCCGCACGTTTGACCTTGACACCCAATAACTCTGGTTCCAAGGAATCCTGCTCCATCATCCTTATCGTTCGCCTCTGATGAATTCTTTCAACGTCAAAGAATGATGTAATGACTATAGTGCAGACGGTGATCCAGGCGGCGTAGCTTTGCCCCAATGTTCCGAAGCGCCACAGGACCCACCTCTCAAACTCCTCCATCTCTTCGCATTTTGGTGGTGCCAATGGGGTGAAGCCTAGAGGCACCTCTGGTTCCGGGCTGACGGCCCTCCGGGCCAGAACCACATGCTCTAGTGGTGCATTTGTTTATCGCGTCTGGTGCTCCAGTGGCCCCGTTAATTACCGTGGTTTCCTTCGTAATCCATTAACGCTTATCTTTGTTAGGAATCCATGTTTGGATAGGGCATCGGAAAACAAAAATTTTAAGTCCAAACGCTGATTCCACCCAAGATCTCTTATGAAGATTATAAGTTATTGTGAGAAATTATACCTCTTTTGGCAAACAAGCAACACTGTGTAGACTGGGGAGATTGGTCCAAGAACTAGCCAAAAACACGTCTGACCTCTAGTTGAGACACACAAACTACGAAGAGTGTTCTAGAGAAAATATTATGCTAGTAATTTTTCCGTAGAAAAATTTCTAAAATATAAAAAATTTGGTGTAAAGTATTAAGAGAACAAGACAAATTGTTTCTTAATAAAAGAGAGAGGGTGGACCAAAATTCAAGACGAAAAAAGGGATGGGATGATCTCTTATTTATAAGGAGCATAATCCCCATTACTATCCCTAATGGGAATGTACCTTTTTAGTGTTTATGAAAGAAATCAAACCACATTCCTACTTTGCTTTGGTAATTTCGAAACACCCCATTAAGGAACCTTCCAATTGATTTTGTCAACATTAATTATCATATCATTAACACAAAATAAATAATATAACATTTATTATATATCTGAAATATATAAATGTATTCATATATATATATATATATATATATATGTATGTATGTATGTATGTATATGTATGTGTGTGTGTGTGTGTCTATATATATATATATATATATATATATATATATATATATATATATATATATATATATATATATATATATATATATATATATATATATATATATATATATATATTTGTGTGTGTGTGTGTAACACCCTAATCCGTCCAGGTCTGCAGCCCCTTTCGGATTAAAGTATTTAACTTGGAAATCGTAAAATTTAAAACTTTTCAAACACATTTTATTAATCTCAATAATATTTTTCATAACATATACAGTACGGAGTATTCAACAATATTGCGGAAGCGAATTTAATTTTTACATATCATAAATCATTTCAAACTTGTCACATCCATCCCGACAATCTCGCCCCATCTGCCGCCAGGATCACATTGTGCTTTCTACTTACCTGCGTGTAGCAAATAAAACACACTACACGCTCAGCGGTAAAGCTGAGTAAGCATATCTAATGCGTCGAACATCCATATAAACTGAATCTAAATTCATAATCAAATCATTTGATATCATGCACACAATGTTCATTTCAGACATTCATAGTTTTGGTATTATTCAATTCATATCAACACATTTTATTCAATTCAGATATTAATCCAATAGTGCTCTTAAATTATTCTTAATCTAATGCTAGATCATAACAACGCTCTTAGCTATTCTTAGTCTAAGGCCAAATCATAATAATGCTCTTAGCTATTCTTAGTCTAAGGCCAGATCATAATAATGCTCTTAACTATTCTTAGTCTAAGGCCAGATCATAATTTCATTCTCAGACGCTTAAACTATAATTAGTTTAAGGCAAACATTTCTCAGACGCTTAAACTATAATTAGTTTAAGGCAACAGTTCTCCGACGCTTAAACATTAATTAGTTTAAGGCAATCAATACTCAGACGCTTAAACTATAATTAGTTTAAGGCAACAATAAGACAATAATTAATCATCATTGAGTCGAAGTATTTCTAAACGAGTGATCCTCTAGCTTAGTCTACGAATCCCGTTTATACATTTTTATCTAATTCATCGAATATTCATGTTTCACAAATCCACACCAATATGAGATCTATTCTAGAGGTCTTCTAGATAGCCTTAACATCAATTTTCTAAATGTGTATACCTTAGAGTTCTTCTAGATACCCTTAACACTACAAATCATTTCATAATTATAAATGTATTCATTTTATTCATGATTCAATCATAAATACTTATTTTAATCAGTAGGTTCAATACTCATAATCATCCATAATATTCATTTATCATAATCATCAATTAACACAACAATTGATAATAAATAGCGGCCTAGCTTCGAGTGTTAACACCCGAACTTACCGTCATGCAACACATAACATTTTTTAGTTGTTAAAAACATCATTTTTATTATGGTAAATCATTTTTATAATGGTCATAATCCATTGGTATCAAAAATAGGATTTTAGAGCTCAAAAATAGCAATTTCAGACAAATTTTCGGATCAGAACTTCGGGGGATCGATCCAGCCCTCTGGATCGATNGTTTTTAGTTACCGAACTTCAACGAAACTATATAGAGATGTTCTCCAAGGTTCATGGATCATTTTGGCATCATTAATTTATAGTTTTAACATCAATTTCATGGTTTATGATTCTTGGTTCTTCAAGCATGTCAAACACAAAACTCAACCAAACGACCGTTTATGAACGTAGAAACGATCTATATGAACATTCTAGTCACTAGATATATCTACGGGCTTACCTCGAAGGTAAATGAAGGTTTTGGAAATTTTCCGGCGAAACTTCCGGCAACGATTACTCTCCATATTCATAGCTCTCATATGAAAGAAGAAGGAAAGATTTTGGTGTGGAAAGGAGGAAGAGGAGAGTAGCATTTATAGCTAGAGAAGAAAGAAGAAGACAATTGGTGATCCTGGTGATGATGGATCGATTAGTGCGCAGGGCTGCGATGCTGATGAATTTCTCATGATTCTTCTCTGATTGGGACTAATTTGGTCCCAGTCGGGGTACACTATTTGGTCCAACTTTCTCCGAATTGAAATCCGTTTGCACCGTTGCGATCATATAATTAAACTCTATCAAACGATATAAATTTCATATTTATTTGTAATACTTTTTCCGACATCATATTTTTGGGTGGTTGACTTTGACAGAGTAAAAATTGGTTTAATTGACCTTTCTCATAAAAGGTTCTCTCATTTAATTCATATCAATTATTCTCATGATTTATTTCAACAAATCATTTCAATATTTACATTCTAAACAAATTCTTTATTTACTCTTGTTTTGGGCCTGTACTCAGGTTCCCAATCAAGACAACACAAATAGTCCACATATTGGATTTATCTCTATGAGACTTATCCAGATTTTGATATTAGATGTCAAAACAAATTTTGTATCGGGCCAAAGCCCAACAATAATTTATTTTAATCAAAACAAATTTGATTAATTGATTATTTATTCATTAATAATTCTAGGGTATATTTTGGGGCGTTACAATATATATATATATATATATATATATATATATATATATATATATATATAATATTTAACATACTTAATTATCATATAATTAAAATGTCCACATATAAACATATATTTATTTATATATGTTTGTGTATCTAATTATGTTTTCACACAATATATAAAATGCAACATTACTCCACTTCGTAGGTACATATCTAGGATATGGTACTAGAGTGACCCACCATGAGAATACTACATGGGTATTATTTTAAATGTGGTAGTAGTATTCTGATTCGGCCATTGGTATAACTATTCTTAGACTTGAAGTCATTATGATCTTTAATATGTTGACCTATATGCATTGATTTATGTATAATGCCATCTAAAATACCGGTGGACGTACTGTTTTGTTTTGGGTATATAGTTAAATATATGTAAAGGCATAAATGACGTAGAAAGAATTTATTCCTTCCATTCAGATGAAGTGTAATGTCTTCGCGCCCACTGATTGATATGACTTGGGAAATGTTTGGCCATACCCAGATAAATTAATATATATGATATTAATGTTATTTGAATACCACAAGTCTAAGAATCAGTAAACCAACGATTTAACTCTAACAATGTTACACTTCCCATACCTTGTGTTAAATCTAGACATTAGTGATAAAGGGATAATAGTTATACAAATGTAATATGTCATTGAGGGTATTGTTGCAATGAACTTTATGTTTATAACATGGGTAGTGATAATGCATGTGTTCTAGATGCCGCTTATCATTTATAATATTAATTGTGATTAACACTATTGCCATCGTTATGAATACCTAGAAGGGTCACACACATAGAATAATTGAACAGAGTAGAATATTAAATGGGGATGAAGTAAAATAATATTCTATATTTATATGAGATGTGTGACATTCATGTAAAATATATACGTTGATATTTTAATTATGTGATAATTAAGTTTGTCGAATATTATTTTTGTATATAAAATAAAATATAAATTAAATATATGTATACACAGTAATATGTTACCAAAAATATATACATTTTTATATTTATTTTACTTTAATTATATGATACTCCCTTCGTCCAAAAATGTTCTTCACATTTGACTTTTCTTGGTCAAAGTTTGTAAACTTTGACTACGACTTGTGAAAAAAACACATTGTATTATGGTGTAAATTTAATATCAATATATTCATAATGAAACGTAGTTTTCAAATATCAAATTTTTATAAAATATAATTATGTATAAGTATAGATATTAATGGTCAAAGCGTAATATTGGAGACCGTAAAAAGTCAAATGGGAAGAACATTTCTAGACGGAGGGAGTAATTAAAGTTGACAAAATAAATTGTTATATTTTATTAGGTAGGGCCAAAAATAAGGAGAGGGAGAAGAGGAAGAATTTAATTCTACCTTTAAGTCTTTAATTAGTTATTTAATTTAATGAAATAAAAATTAATGACTTTCTTCTCCACACCACTACCTTATATACAACCACACACACTTCTCTCAATCTATCCTTCATTATTTTGAATCGAAAAACAAGAGTGGGAGCCGAAAAACTATAGGGAAAAATATTTTGATATTTTTCTTGATCATTCCCAATATATTTTATATTATAGTAATATTCTAAGAAGGACTTACTAGTATAAATTCTTCTTAGAACCCTGTTCGTTGTTTATGTGGATGCGCTAGAGGTTGGATTCTTTTGTGACTGGTTCGTTGCACCAATCCCTTCACCTACACCGTCCGATCTGTTTTCTACAAGCAAATGTATTTTTCTTAACAATAATTTATAGTTTTCGTAAGGCAATCTTGGGTGGTAATGATGA